TCTTGGTGATATGCGATGGTAATTCAATGCAGTGTGAGCGGGAGCACTGCTCGGAGTGGCTGTTTATTTCACAAATAATAATGTCTCAAAACCAGAATTCTGCAAATTCCATTAGTTCTAAATCTCGACTTGCATGTACGCTCGGTCCTAAATGAAATATTTCGACAGGACAGTAATATGAGTAATTGTTCCTAATTACTCCCAATTTTCCTAAAAAGTGAAGGCCAGAGTGTGTATGGTCCATCAGCCAAATAACGATATAAAAAACGCTGAGGCATAGTTTCGCTAGTTCGAGCCTCCATAAAGTAAACGAATATATCAAAGCTATTTTCTTACAGAATTATTTTGTCCAGAAACACAGCTATAAAGAGCTGGAAGGATACGATCCAGTCCGTTCATCAAGTGCCCAACAACCTCAGCGCTACTTCCGCGTATCAGCTCAGTAAACGGCGCAATCAGCGACGGTTCATTCGGCAGCAACTTCACTATCTGCAAGAACTGAGCGGAATATTCCAGAAAATGAGTGCCTCGATTTGGCACCTTCCAGCTAAAGTAGAGCTTTCTGCTCCGTGTCTGTCACTGAATCCAGACTGATTATTCTGGACGATTCTGGACAATAACAGTGGACAAAAACGAAACAGGAAGCACTTTGTTATCCATTTCAAAAGAAATTTCATCATCACATGTTGTCGGAGCCTTTTTTGAATATAGTCGGACGGGTGTCGTATTGAAGTCGTTTAGAGTGGACAATACATATCTCTACTTTTTCAAGCCCTGTATATTCCGACTTCTGGTACCTTGTTTCTTATGAAATCAGTCTTATGACAGTCCGAAGTTGAAATATTAAGTGATGGATAAAATGAAATCTAGTTTCAAAGCCCAGTCAGTCCGGAATTACGCATCATTTTCTGCTCAAAAATGGGAAAATGAACCTCATGGAAGCCAGCGGCAGTTGCAGATCGAACATCATCATCTGGATCCGAACAAAACCCTTCCAAAATCGGTAACAAACGATCTTTAAAGCAATCTTCGCCATACGCCAACACTATGCACTGCAGTACAGCAATATTCATATCATGACTTAATAATTACTTGCATTATTGCGATAAATTTATTATTATGCGTTTTTGCATATTTGCAAATGCGAAAACGCATATTGCGACCACCCCGGTGTGTGTATATGTGTGTGTGTGTGTGAGCGTGTGTGTGTGCGCCTGTCCGGATATTTCAACTCGGCAAGCTCCGGCGCCAAAATTTTGTGAATGGTTTCCCCGACCAAGTGCCACCCCAGGACCGTGGTACCAACCCACACGCAGGTCTGGGCCCCGCGTACGAGGGAGTCAAAGTTTTGTCGGGAAAGCCGCTAACTCGGGAACCAGAAAAGCTAGAAAGCTGAAATTTTGAGGTTATGTCCCCTGTTTACATAGAACTCAAAGATTTCAAATTCAGCTCCCAGATCTGCGTGGGGGCTGAATTTGAAATCTTTGAGGTCTCCCGTTCGAAATTTGAAATCTTTGAAATCTCCCGCGTATGGCCTCGTGGGGGTTTCTGTCGTGAAAATCGCTAGCTTGGTATTCAGGAAAGCTGGGGAGCTGAAATTGTCAGAGAATGTTCCTAGCACACGTTCAACATATAATTTTCAAACTCAGTCCCTCAGCTTAAATGGCAGTCACATACGGTCCCACGAAAATTTTTGGAGGAAAAATGGCTGACTTGGGAAACAGGAAAGCTGGAAGGCTGGAATTTTCACAGGATGTTCATAGCATAACGTGCAGCTTAAACTTATCAAATTCAGCTCCGGGACATCCGTGGTTAGGCCTAGTGGAAGTTTTTGGCGCGGAAATGGCTAACTCGGGCAGCAGAGCAGAAATTTTCAAGGAATGTTTCCAGCCCATCTACATCTTAAATCTATCAAATTCAGCCCCCCCCCCCCTCCTCGTTGTGCGTGGTTTTCGCGTACGGCCCCGTGAAAATTTTTGGCGGGAAAATGGCTAGCTTCGGAACCAGGGAAGCTGGGACGCTGAAACTTTCAGAAAATGTTCCCAACTCATTTACAACTTAAACTTATCAAATTCAGCCCCTCAATATGTGTGGTTGCACGTACGGCCCCGTGAAATTTTCTGACTGGAATTTGGGTAACTCGGGAACTGAGAAAGCTGAGAACCTCCGATTTCAAGGGAATGGTCTCTGTCCAAGTATAGCGTGGATAATTAACTTCCCGAAATTCGAGGATCAGTATGTACAAGAGGTCTCTAGCTAGCGGAATTTCGAGTGATCTTTTTGTAGCACGAAACACTGCAATGATTAATAATGGGCCCGCCCAGTGCGCGTCGCCAATGATCAATAAGTTTAATAACTGCTTTTAAAACAATCATCATTAAATCAGCCACTTTCGCCGATGGCACAGTTCTCACTACGAACAAACGACGATATAGCAGCATCTAGCGGAGTGAGGATAAGAAACTCGATTCCACACCGCCCCACACTACTTATTTTTGGAACGAATTTGTTTCATTACAGATCCGTCTTCAGTTTTATTATCCGTTCTTTAAGCCAATATCAGTTTCTGACACGCAATTTGAGCCATTCTATGCAGCATGCTTTCCATGAGCCACCAACTGGCACATTGTAAAGTACGTTATTGTTCGGCATTTTTTCGCCACTCTTTTTTATCAGACACTAAAATCTATATCTTGTGGAATATATATACAAATAAAAATACTGTAGTGAAAAGTGGTGGGTACGCACAAGCAGTAGCAGAACACACTTACTGGGAAATTGTAAGCAGACATGCGCCGCGTGGCGATCTGAATGTTGGACGAGGCGCCATCTGATGTCAAGAATGCTCGCCCTAAGCTAGCGATACGTACATAGATCTCCAGGAACCAGGCGCTCTCCTTCGCTGTCAGTACATCCTACAAATGCAGAAATTCGTGAGATACTATGCTGCCTGGAATTTCAGCAACAGAAGACGGCAGGCGCAGCAAAAGCATAATGCAATTAGAAAAAGGTGAAAAGTTAAGCAGAAACTCTGAAAAGATTGCAAAATTCTGCCGTACGGAAATTTTCCAAAAATAATTGTTAAGGTGAAAAAGTGAACCAGCACCTATTTTGAGAATTAAACTTGTTATGAGGTATTACTAAAAAGAAATAATATATTTAGTCGTACAAGCTAAAAGTATTCCATGAAGAAGCTCGAGCCCTAGGAGCTGGGATTTTCACCTTTAGAGAAAACAACCACTGGCCAAGATTTCGAGCAACTACGCCAAGCGTTTCGTCTTGTGCCACAATCGCTTGTTCGGCACATTTTTTAAGAAGCGGAAGAATCGAATTTTTTCGATTATCTGCAAAGAGGAATTAAATGATAGTCTAAACTATCGGATAAAAACGTTTAGTCGAAACAAAAATGGAGGCAAAGGCTAAGGCGGAAAGGGCGGATGTTACAGAAGAACGGGAAGAAAGGAGCGAGTGTTCTGGCAAGATTTATGCAACTGGTCAACAAGAGAGCTTCCGAAAGCAGATGAGTTAGTTTCTTTATCAAACAGAAATCAGACCTTTTGAAAGAAATGGTATGCACTGGGCAATGGTATTCAATGCAGCTTCTCGTGTGCCAGATTCCGCATCCTTGCACAACTCGATCAGGCAAGGCACCACTATTGATGCGCAGTCACTTGGATTCCTGCAACTTCGTTTTACTGCGAAAACTAATTATCGAGCATCGTCTAATGACAGTTGCGGAGTTTCCAGCATTATTGATTTTTTAAGCCAACTAGGCCAGGCGCAACTTTATCTGGTTTTTCTGACCAAATTTTTTGAATTGTGCCCTCAAACGCGCATGTGCTGCTTGCTTTTGAGTGTCGTCCGGGTATCTTTTCTCTCCCGTAAATAGCACTTATTGTTACGTTACATCCACTAGCTGTCAGTCAGGGAATACAAACTGCAGATAAATTATGATCAGTTTGCCCCTTTCTCTCCCAGATTTTCTATCCTAGAACATACATTTTCAAAGGTTCACAACTAAACAGCGTTTAAGAAACAGAACTGGACAAGGGGTGAAAGGGAGGATCGTCTGAAAAAACCAAGTCTTCGAGCATTTTTAGCCAAAATTCACCCTTGATGCCCGATCACAATATCAACCAGGGAGAAGAACTGCCGTTGTTTCCGTAAGAGGATATGAAATCAGGACTAGGAAGTAAATCCAGACTGGAACGCACCAACCTTTCCGGCGCGAACATGCGTTTTTGCATCAAACTTGAAGTAATTAGGTTAACTGTATGAATGGTTGTTGCTTCACAACTACCTTGTGCGCTCAATACGGTAAATCATAGCAAATTTTGCATAAGCGAAAAAAAAAACTTCCGTTTAGCTGCCATTTTTATGCGTTTTTGCATATATACAAATTGCAACCCAGGCTAGAACGCACCAGGCTCTCCGGTGCGATCGTGCGTTTTCGCACTAAACTCACAGATCACTATTAGCAAGAATGATCCCTACGCTGTAGCCTAACACTTTGGTCATATTGGCGCTTTGATCCTTTCCGGCATGCAGGAGGAAGGGCGCCAGTTGGGGTGCATTATGGAGCCGCACAGACAACCAGGGGCACGATTACCGGTTTTTTGCATGAAGTCCGGTCGTTTTTAATTTGAAACCTTCGAGTTCTATGTGGACGGGGCACATAACCTCAAAATTTCAGCCTTCTAGCTTTTCTCGTTCCCGCGTTAGCAATTTTCTCACTAAAATTTTCTCACACTCGCACCGAGGTCCAGGCGTGCATGAGGGTTGGTACCGCGGTTCTGAGGTGGCAATTGGCCAAGGAACCAATTGGCAAAATTTTGGCGCCGAAGCTTGTTTGATTGTCAAGTTGAAATACACGGACAGACGAACACACACACACACATGCAGAAAAATACACACACAGACAAGGTCATTGTAATATGCGTTTTCATGCGTTTCTGCTGCACAGCGCTATATCCAGCAAAAACGCATATTGTCGGGAGACTGTGTGTTTGTTCAGAAGGGAGTGCATTTTGTCACCCACTTTCATCTCAGCAACCAGGAAAGCTGCAAGGCTGAAACTTTGGGTACATGTTCCTACCCCGTGTGCCACCCTCCTGTTTCAAGATATTCCACCACACGCGCCAACGTTTTGTGTACAGGCCCCCCAAAGTAATACGCAAATTTCTTTGGCGGGAAACGATTTTGCGAACCAGGCAAGGTACAAAGCTGAAACTTTGTAGAGACATTCTCTGTGTACGCACGAGCTAAAGATTTCAAACTCAGTCGCCGCGCACGTCTGTGCAGCGCGTACGAACACGTCAAAGTTTGCGACTTGCTACTATGCTAACTCGAAAACTTGCCAGAAAACAGTGGCTGAATTTGTCAGGATGTTTGTCTCTTATATAGGAAATAGTACACCTAAAATGAGTACCGATTTGCACTTGCGCCACGAATTAGGGCAGTTCAAAAATATCTGTCGCGAAGTGGATATTTCGCTTGCCGGATAAGCTGCGAGGCTGAAAATTCGCTGAAATGTTCTACTTTCAATTGCGGTCTTAATTCTGCATGGAGGTGTAATTTCCTCCAGGTACGCGTGAAAAATACTCAGCTTTACTGAAAAACCCAGGCTGGAATGCACCAGACGGGCCGGTGCGATTATGCGTTTTTGCACTTCTCGTACCGTAGCAAGATCGCAAGGAATCAATGTACACGAAAAAAATGAGATTACAGGTAACATGTCAACAATGCTCGTGTAACGGCAACTGATACAAGTAAACAC